TCGGGTTACATATGAAAATATGTTTGACTTTACTCGGGAGAGACTGTTAAATAATTTGAGAGCATTGATTCGTCAATATTTTAATCTTGTGTCAAAGTGTTTTAAAAATATTATTACTTAGGGATTCGTGATCCTAGTACATTCATCACACATTAGAAAAACTCAAATTTACATCCATTGCCAAATTGCATTTAGTTAATTAATTCATTCATATTTGCATGTTTAGTATTAGATTAGTTATAAATTTATCAAAACAAACATTCTNGTGATCCTAGTACATTCATCATAAATTAAAACACTCTAACTTACATTTATCGCAGGTTGCATTTAATTTAGTTAATCATTTATAATTGCATACTTAGTATTATTCTACTTATAACTTCATCAAAACAAACATGTCATTTTATTCTAGTTTCGGTTAAGGTCAAGGTATTATGAATTTGAATTAATCAATTTCCGTGGAACGATACTCGAACTCAAAAATATCCACTTTAATACTTGTTAACGAATCATACACCTGTGATGGTTTTCATTTGAAAGATATTTTCGTGAACAGAAGCAACCTCAGTCACTGAAACAACATAAAAACAAAGAAATAAAAACACACGAACTTTCATTGCAACCATAATGCCACTACAACTTTTCGAGGAATATATGTTTCAGAATTGCATTAATAACATCATACAAGAGGGGTTTATATACTTATAATTATGTTGTCCCCATCATTCAGATAATGCATTTAATGGTCCCTAAAAACAACCAGTTTACTAATGCTGTGCAAAAGTCCATCAACACGTGTTTGGTAAGATGCATTAGACAAGAATGCTTTCACGTACCTACCAATAAAATCTGATGATGCAAAGACCATTAGTTACAGCGTGATGATTAGACAGTCACATAAATCAAATTAAATAAGCCAAATTATGTTTTATTCATATAAATTTGCGTTTAACATTTAACTTACCCCTCAGATGCGGACTGCAATGTTTTCTTGTTAATATGGATGGGAAACAGCAAGTTTTATGCTGTAGCCAGGGCCGGCCCCGAGAATTTTGANCACAGACCACAACGCCAGTTCGCAGCCTGAAGCCCTCCACTGCGCAGCCTTCACTTCGCACGCAGCCTCCATTTGACCACTTCGCATCCCAGCGCCGGCCCCGAGAATTTTGAGACCCTAGGCGACTAATTATTACGAGGCCTTAAACATAGGTTTCTACGAGTGGAGAAACACTAATTTTGACAGCCTGCCTCATTGTTCAAAAGAAATTCGTGAAACAGCCCTTGTTCGGTCTAAGGAAATTATTCGTTATATCTTTCAAGCTGATTCGATCTCTTTAAGGGATTGAACGCGTTTAAATTTACAAATTCTACGTTGCTTACTGAAAATAAACAAATACACAAATTCCACAACATACACTTTGACCGATGAATGGCTGCTTCAAGATCTAATTCGAGGCCGAATGAGTAACTCGTAGGGCATGCGCTATAATTGTAACAGTAATTATGTAGATAGTATTATGATAGCAAACTGAAAAGATGGAACTAAATTGAAATTCATACCATTTTTATAGANGAATGAGTAACTCGTAGGGCATGGGCTATTATTGTAACAGTAATTATGTAGATAATAATATGATAGCAAACTGAAAAGATGGAACTAAATTGAAATTCAAACCATTTTTATAGAAAAAAATTACAATTTTTCCTCTTAACGAATTCAAATGCTTTGGAGAATTGAAGATTCAAGATTGAATGAGAAATCCCAGAAGCTCGGATTAGGTAGAAGAAATGAATATTTAACATCCCGTGTTGATAAATAAACTACGAAAAGATTTAAATGTAAAAAATAATTAGGTGAGCAAATAAAGTTATAAATTATACATTTTCTTCGGAGGCCCCCCTAACATTGGAGGCCCCAGGCCATTGCCTTAGTGGCTTTACCCCAGGGCCGGCTCTGTGCGCAGTAATGGTCTTTAAGCTGGAGAGGAATTGTTGCCAGAAGGAGGTACATTATATCTCTTTTATTTTGCTTTGTTCCCTCTCAGGTTTCTCTGTTGATATGCCAAATTTATTGTCTTTGCTTCTGTAAGTACTGGGCAGTAACTTAGCTTGAATGAGGCTAAGTTTGTAATGAAGAAGCTCAAGCTCTGAATACGAGGGATTCTTTAATTTCAAGCATTTAACTATTTTAACACCAGGCCTCGCTTGTCTTTACAATGTCATTTAGGCATCTCCCCAAACCCCGAACCTCTCTATTTTTTTGGTAATTTGACATTAGTTAATATTTTCTGAAATATTGTATTATTCTTAGGGGCCCGTTTGGCAAGTCTTTTGAAAAGCCAAAAACTGCTTTTGAGATTAAGAAGCTACCTTTGGATCCGTTTGGATTATTTTCTAGAATTGCTTGTAAGAGTTTTAAGAGGAAGCGCCAGGGTGGCTTCCTCAGGAAGGTTTTCTACAGAAAGTGAGAAAGTAGAAGCCATACCAAATGTGCCCTTTGTCATCCTTGAATAACTAAATCTTGCATATCACTGTATACATATATATGTGTATGTATCTATTTGGGACACCTTTGTACTTCAATGTCAATGGATCAGTCACCATGGCAGAATCCTGTCATGTTTAACAAGGGAACCATCTCTTATGATATATATATATATATAGTTCAATGTCAATGGATCAAATTATCAATCACCATGGCAGAATCCTGTCATGTTCAACAAGGGAACTATCTCTTATGATTGGTTGACTAGCACCTTTTTTGGGGTTTAGATATAATGCTACAAGAGCGCATGCTTTGGATGTGTAAATGTTTTAATTTAGCTAGATTGCTCGTAGTTGCTATCTACTTGGTTGCTGTTCTAAATTTTATGTTCTAGGTCATTGTTCATTATATATGCAATCTTGTTAAAGTTATAGAAAAATTTTACAATAAAAACACAAACTCCTGAAGTGTTGTATGATGGCTATATTTCGATGTATTTTGTATCTATGCAAGCACCATTGTAGAAGCTTGATACCTGGCAAATTTTCTTCTTCATGTACATATGCAGGTGATGGCGGAGTTAAACCTGTGGCCAACGAGGATATTGTTACCCAACTTGTGTCGATGGGATTCAATTATCTTCACTGCCAAAAGGCAGCTATCAATACCTCCAATACTGGAGTTGAGGCGGCAATGAATTGGTTACGTGGCCACATCAATGATCCCGGTATTCAAAGTCACATTCGGTTTTGCAGAATGCAGTTTCTGTAAGTCAGTTTTCTTGTTGTTTCTGAACTTCAAAGATCTTGATTTGTAAATTTTGTTTCCAGACATCGATGATCCCATCACAAAAGCAGCGAAGAGTGCTCTGCATTATTCAGATATTGACCCGTTAAAAGTTGATGCTATGGTATCATTTGGTTTTGAGGAAGAACTTGCTCGAAAGGCACTTCTGGCGTCGGTAAAATTCTTGTAATTGGAACTTTTTACAGATATTACTTTATGAGAAAAGGAGATATGTTTATTTGTTTCTGAAATGCTGGAGTTCCACAGTTCTTTATATTTAATTCTTTACAGGATGGTGATATTGAAAAAGCCACTGAATGGATATTTAATCCTCCTTCTGGTACATCCCACATGGACACTAGTCCGAGCGATAGTGCTGCTGAGGTTGATGCAGTTCTGCCTGATGGAGATGGGAGTGAGTTTCTCGTACCTTTTTCCTGTTGATCTGCAATGTGCTATTGCACCTGATATTAATATATTACCTTTGCTAGGCTCCTCCTTTTAAAGAACTTGGTCCCTTGTGCTCTCGTGTAATATTTTAGTGATACTAGTTACTGGAAATGATTCCATAAAGTTTTCAAGTGCTATAAAATTTTCAGTATTATTGTTAGTTTTTTCCAGTGAAAAGGAAATTAGCGTTCTCTCATTTTTCCTCTTTTTGTGATACTCGTGGTATTTGTGCGAGCTGATAGCACATGCTTCTGGTAATTTGTATTCACAAACTTACCTTTTTACTCGCACAGAATACTGGCTCATTGGATTAGTGAGCCACATCGGTACATCTACCCACTGTGGTCACTATGTTGCTCATATCCGCAAAGATGGAAGGTGGGTGATTTTCAATGACAATAAGGTTGGGGTGTCGAAGAACCCGCCAATTGACATGGGATACTTAATACTTTTTCGAAAGAATTGATAGTTGAATCTAGGATACAGCCGCGAGATGGAGATGCTCAGAAAGATGGATTGAGCAATTTTCTGGAATGCATTAACTTGCCCTCCCGTTATCTGTTGACTGGATTTAATCCAAAGGCTAAACGAGGTGTGAAATCTCATCATTTTACTTGATCCGTTGCAGTTTCGCTGCATGACGCAGTGAAAATCACTTGCTTCTTGGCGGTTCAGTATCTTATAAGCTAGGACTCAATAGGGGGATTACATTCTCACTCAGTGTTTCCAACCTCAGAATTTATCCCATATTCCCCTTTTTCTTTACAAACGGAATAAACCATTATTTACTCTAATCTGGGTATTATAATAGACTGATAACATTTGTGGGTTTTAAGATACCCTAAATTGATCCTTTTCCTGCTTGACCTTTTTTATTATTCATGTTTCCAAGTGCTTAAAAGTTAATTTTCTAGTAACTTTGATTTGATTTTTACTGCTTTTACTGTTAAAAGAATGATGATTTCTACTGCATTTTGAGTACTGAATTATGTATTAATTACTTTTGTTGTAAAATGATCAATATATTTTAATTTGTCACCTATCATGTAAATAGAGACTTGAGAAACATGACCAGAAGAAAATTTTGAAATCAGTTGTAATTAAACACCAATGAACTTTCAAAAGAAAAGTCATTCCAATTAAATTTCTCTCTACCTAACTCCAAATCAATAGAATAAGAAAAGAAAAATGAACTAGTCCTAATCTGAATAGCTTCAAAGCTTTGATTTAAAAGTGCAGCAATATCTGCCAATTTAAAGTTTTGGGAACTCAAAATTTGATGAGCAGCAGTCTCCACAAAGACAGCAACGCCGCCACACTCGGTACTTTTGAAGCCTTCCCACAAAGGGAAATCGACAGTTCCCAAAACACTTTCTTGGAAGAAATGTTTTTGGCTGAGCACAACTGTACTATACTCTTGACAACAAAATCATTGGCTAAAACTCGATCTTTGTTGGCTCCATGGAGACAACTTGTCACTAAACCGTTTTCGTATAGAGAAACCATAATATCGGCACCTTGGGTCCTTGATGATCCACCTTTGCCCTCGGAGATCCCGTCAATGAGACTTGCAGCGACTCTGGTGTAGGCCTTTCAAATGTTGCTTGTTTACATGAAATATGAATTAATCTCATAATAAGTTTTATATAGCGTGATTACATTTAAGGATGGGTTTCAATATTTCTGATCAATAAGGTCTTGAATCTTATGTTTAAGGTCATAGGCTCGTAGCAGTCGAAAGTCCAATACCTGTTTTATGCATATGATATAATGGTAATCGAATCAAGCATTCGAGTGCTCTTACCAATATACTTGGCATATTGGGTCGAGGTTCTATTTTGAAAGATAACCTATTTTATTAAGTGAAGTGACTAATTTTTTTTATTTTAAAGTTGTAAGGAAATAGTGTAGTTGACTTGGAACGCGGGAGTTGGGGCTCTTGATGAGTGCGCGATGCAAAATAAAAAACATCCTGATCATTCCCAACACAGTATGCCCGACCTTGGACCACAATTTTCGGGTTGAAAATTGAGTTCTACCTCAAAATAAGCGTTTTGCCTAACGGTTCATTGGCTCTGTCCAAAAGTATTTTTCCAACCTATATAATCTCAATGGTCCACAGGTTGTACCGTTGAAGTCACCCCTTCCCAGCCGTGTTCCGCCTATTAAGCAAAAAATCTGCCGCGAGATTGTAATATAAATAATACATTCCAGCAAAGTAACCAACATGGTCCCATGGTCTAGTGGTTAGGACATTGGACTCTGAATCCAGTAACCCGAGTTCAAATCTCGGTGGGACCTTTTTCCTATTTTCATTTTTAATAAATAATTCACCTCTTTTTTTTTTGGCAGTTTCTCTTTTTTCATTAATTCCTGCCTTAAATTGCAACATCTTTTCTGGGGTTAAAAAAATACTATTGGCTGAACTTTCATGTATGTTTCAAATCGGTCATTAAATTTCAATTTGATACTAAATAATCATTATACTTAAAAAATTGTTTCTATTTGATCCTCACGTTAGTCTCCATCTGTAAAATTAGTGCATAATCCTGTACGACAAATCTGCCTGGTTTCTTGGAACCTCCTCAGCTATTATCAAACGTTATCCCTCCACCATATTGCTCGATTGTGGATTTTCTTTAAGTCAAAGTATAAAGTCGATTTTAAAGTCAATAAATCGTCAATTCTTATCTACGATTTCCATTATGCCTTTACTATAGTGGAGGGATAACATTGAATAACAGCTGAGGATGCAAACGTACGTGATACGTCGTGCTATTTTTCTCGCAATCTTATGCATTACTAATATAGACTACCGCAAGAATCTAATAGAAACAAAATTATAAAGTATAGATTGAAGTTGAATAACTTGTTTGCAAGTTGCAATAGGTGCATTGAAATTCGGCTGCATATACGTGATTGAGAAGTTGAGAAAAATTGTGAATCCTTTGAAGGTTTGAATTTATACCCTCTCTTAAGATAGATTGGATCTTACTTTAGGTAAATTCTATCAAACAGCGTAAGACCTAAAATAACACTACGAAATACGAATCCTCTAATCTTCTAATGTGTTACTGAGAATGTCTGAATCACAGAAGATTCAAATTTGATTGAAAATTGAAAACGACATCGATACTGTATGTTAGTCAATTTTACCTTAGCTATTGAAATATCAAAATATAGAAAAGAAAATTCATGTGGACGTCTGCAAATAATAATTATATATCAACGAAAAGAGACAAAACTAAGTCATTGATTGATTTAGTTAAAATCAAATTTTTAGTAAAATTTGTTAAAATTGTCGAAATAAGTGCGTAAAAAATTGATAACAGTTATGAATTTTATAAAATGTGTAATTGAAAATGAGAGTCGACCGTGTGCTAAATTTCCCGACATCGAAAATTTTTGCATGGCTCAGAAAATAGATTCCACAAACTAATAAGAAGCCAAACTTTCAAGCACTCACCACATTTACTTGCATTGTCCCACTTGAATTTCCTATGGACCTCAATATTTGGGAGCCAATATCCACATATAAACCTAAACTTGGACTTTTGTCTTCAATGTTTTAGAATTCTTTCATACACATATATTAGAGAATGTAATTTAACTAGACAAAATTAAAAACTGATATACGCGATTAAATATTTTGTAAATAGAGATCAATATGGGGCCAATTCATAGAGCCACATGTACTGAACCACGCCGGGCCTAAAATTTACTATGTTACCTCACATCTGGACCGTCCATCCCACTATTACACACTTGCTTCGTGGTAAGTCACACAAACCATTTTCCACTTTTATAATTTTCTTTTTATGAATAATGTTGTTCATACTCAGCGTTCAAATAATTCGAGAAATTAATTTTTCATAATTCTATTATCTTAAGTTACAAGTTAATGCCTCAGGTAATAAATCGTCGATAGAATGACTGCCGCAATGACAACATTACTCGAGAGACATTATTGAACTCCAAATTTACTCATTTTGTGTGATCCTCATTTAATTGCCACGTGTATTGGGTCCCATTAGAACACCGAGAAGAGAAGCACCCGATCAATCTACCTGTAATAAAAACTACCACAAATTCTCATTCTGTACTGGTTTGAGTTGACACAGAGAAGAGAAGAGTAATACAAGGGGATCACCCTCCCCAGCCCCGGCGAATCCATGGCCTCCATAACCTCACAGTACTTCTTTTCTCTTTCTAAACCAAAACCCAACAGTAATTCCATCAAATCTTCCTTCGTCCACCACCTCAAACCGCCCTCCACCACCGTCAAGATTTTCTCGAAGCCGAAGGATGATAAGCGATATTTGTCGGTGGTGTTGGCCTCAGTGGGTAATGAACTTGACGTCATCCCTGTGCAGAGTGACGACAGAGTTGACCAGCAAAGCGGCGTCGTCTGCATAGAGAGGGAAACAGAGGAAACGGATCTAGATTCCGTGGTGGGTCAGGTGGTGGGAGGATTTGGTAATGAGGCTTCGGGAAGGCTGTCTTTTGAGGGTGCTTCTGGGTTTTCATCTGCTGGTTCTACTGTAGGTGGTCCTGGGTCGGGCGATGGAGATATGCAGAGGCTTATTGATAGGGCTATTAATGCCACCATTGTCTTGGCTGCAGGAACTTTTGCTATCACAAAGTTGCTGACTATAGATTGTGATTATTGGCATGTGAGTGGAATTATCTTGTAATTGCTTTTATTTTGTGAAGTTTGAATTAATTTTTAACACTTTTGTGGGAATTGATTGTGACATTTGTGTTAATTTTCTTGGCATATTGTTGAGACTTGTCAATCCTTATGTGTACGTGAATCCGGCCTTTGAAGAATTGATTCTCTATACAAATAGAGTACGCAAAATTGAGTCTTTATACGAATTTTGTTACTTATAAGTTTAGCAGATTGAAATTGGAATCATTCTCGAGTCCTTGACTATTGAGATGAAGCTTTGCCAATCTAGTTTCCATTTCACCCCATTGTTTGTATTTTCTTCGCTTTGTTATTTCTTAGATTTCTAGGCTCAACTACTGGAATAAGAGGTTATTGCTCGCCCCTCAGTTGGGCTCTTATGGAATATGATAGTTTTTGTGGTGACAATTTCTCCTTGATTAGATATTGAATATTTATCTTGACTGTTACTGGTGGGCTGTATTGTTTTGTCTTGTAATGATACCTAGCGAAGTAGCTGTACAAGTACAACTCCTCTTACATGCTCAATGGACTGTTAAGGGGAGATATAGATACATAGATTGCTGACTATGAGTTGATCTGATGCTTAAAGGCAAGTAGCTCATCTGGAAAATGGATTTCAAATGAATGAGGACAAATAATTGATAGTTGATGTATCAAAAAGTGATATATTTGAATGCAGAAAAGTAGGACCAAAACATTCCTTTGGTTGCTGGATATTATGTCTAGATAGAACTTCACTGGTTGAGTGGTAAAGTTTGTTACTTCTTAGCGGTACTACCTGAAATTACTGATTTTTGAGATTATAGTTGACCCTCGATGTATGCTCTTATCAGTTGTGCAAAACAGTGGGCAATTTCTGCTTGCTTAGATATTGCCTATTGGATATTCCTCTCAACTGCTACTGTGGCATATTAGTTTTCCTTGAGGGTTGCATTTTTGGACATATCTTGAAACATGCATTACTGAGCTTAATTCTCATACCAGGGTTCTCTATTATAAGCTGATAGAGTCCACTGACTACAATTGCTCGTACCAGGCTTCTTTAACATTTTCTTTTAAAGAGCTTACAGGAAACTGAAATCTTAATTTTTTGAGATCGTGATGCCATTGACCTCTAAGAGCTTGCAAGCTTTAATAAACTGTTGAAGAGGAAATTTGTGTGATCTTTTCTTTTGTTGTTGTCACGCGGTTTTATAAAAGTTTTTTATGTTTTTATTCCTTGAAGTAATACCAACATTTGAACTGTATGGAGCCCTATATGTTGTATTGGAGCATAGATACATTTTTTTTGTACAATATGGTTGTAAGAATTTCTATTACATGCATACATCTTGGCAAAGTTTTCTAGTATATTTTGCATTTTCTTCATGGTTTCAGGTGATGTGAGTGTATGAATATTATCATTTTCTTGCATGCACCAAGTCAACACTGGTTTTTTCTACTTCTCTCCTATTTGTGCTTGGGTCTTTCAACTGGATTACATATTTAGATATATTCACCAGCTCTGTTCGAAATTATTTTATTATACATATCTACATATATCGACTGTGTTTTACGTATAAGATTGTACTCATTTTGTTTGTTTATTTAGGGATGGACCCTCTATGAAATACTGAGATACGCACCCCAACACAACTGGAGTGCATATGAGGAAGCTCTTAAAGCAAACCCCGTCTTAGCAAAAATGGTAATAAGTGGAGTGGTGTATTCCGTGGGTGATTGGATTGCACAGGTTAGTTGAAATTTTCTTTTTAAATGCGAACAGCTCTTTTATTTGTTGATTTTAGCAGAGTCTTATTGGCTGTTAATGAGTTCACACGATATTTTTTGCAGTGTTACGAAGGAAAACCTCTGTTTGAGTTTGACCGTGCTCGCACTTTCAGATCTGGGTTAGT